TGAGTATGAAGATTTCTGTCTTCTGGGTTGTTGCGCTGTGTAGTCTGGTCGATGTTTACCAACGTTTCAGAGGTCATACTGCCTCCATCATCAGGGCGATGAGTATGAAGATTTCTGTCTTCTGGGTTGTTGCGCTGTGTAGTCTGGTAGATGTTAACCAACGTTTCAGAGGTCATACTGCCTCCATCATCAGGGCGATGAGTATGAAGATTTCTGTCTTCTGGGTTGTTGCGCCGTGTAGTATGGTCGATGTTCGATTCATCGCCCTGATGACGGAGGCAGTATGACCTCTGAAACGTTGGTAAACATCTACCAGACTACACGGCGCAACAACTCAGAAGATAGCAATCTTCATCAATTTTTATATTATCTTACTATTTATGAGTAGGTTTTCTAAATGGTCTCTTTAGTTTTCCGATCAAACCTTTGAATTTCTTAAAACTTTGTGACTCCCTTATTAATAGTCTACCCATTTAAGTGCTGTTTCCTGCCATACTCACTAAGTCGTCTGCAAGTATGAAGATGATGTGGGGTCTGTCGTAGATTGCAGCTGCACACAGCGTGATTGAAAGAAGCAGGATGACGCACTCCTTCCTACTGGACATACTTTAGGAATAGCCTGTGACAGAACACAAAAACGTCGTACTTAGATATAACCTATTAGTCAGCTTTCAAAAAGCTAAAGTGTCCCTCAGCATATTTGGTACCGCGGACATCCTCCCCAAAATTATCGCATACATCTTGATTAAATAAAATATGGACCAACTGAACTGAGAATAGAAAGAAAAGTTCTTTTTGTCATGTTTTCATTCACAAAGAGAAAATAATAGATGTGATGAAAAAACTTAAAAATTTGTTGAGGTATCAGGCTCTCACAGGGGTAAACATGAGGATGACTGTCTTGTTGGATGTTACGCCAGAAGACAGCCATCTTTAAGTCTGAAACAATACGTCATCAAAACAAAATAAAAACTAGTAGTCTACTCAAATCCCGGACCTCTTTGGCACAACTTGCAGATCTCCGGTTTAGAAATATTGCAATAGATGACGGTCGGCCGTCTGTCGTTGAGTTTTGAATGGGTTTCAAGTGGAATCTGTTTTACTGGTTTGATTATATGCGGGTTTGCAAAGCAACACTTGTAGATTTTCGGTCATTTCTCGGTCGTTAGTTCCTCGATTGTGAAAGCGGGACCCGTAATGTGACGATGATACAATTGCGGTCAGTAAAATTCGTTCCTGTGCTTAATTAAGTGCGACACGACGAAGATATATGGGGGAGTGGAGGTACGGCTTAACTCATTTTCAGTCTCGGCATCGGATAAAAGTGAGTGGTTAGGTTCAGGAACCGACCGTGTTAGTCCCTGTATCAGTTGGACAGGATGTTGGATGGACCCCAATGCCGGTCTGGAAGCCCTGTCGTTTACCCTGTAGAGTTGTAGTTTTATATTTTATTTACTAGACGATGGATAATATCCAAGAAAATTTTTATTCAAATGACTCATCACCATCGTCAAGAACTTTTAGATTTGATGTAGTTTTAAAAATGCTCATCAAAGGTTTTCAGTAAAATATTTTACTACTATTGATGAAGAGTGTGATTACAAAATTCGTTCAGTCCATTTAACAATTTTGAGGAAGACTAAAGGATCTAAGAGAAACACTGGCGAGGAACGTATCACAAGAAACGGAAAATTAAAGAGAAAATATTAAATAAAAATTTCCTTGGATATTATCCATCGTCTAGTAATAGGGATTAGTTCTATCTAGTGGGCCTAACTGTGTAGGAACCTGAAGACGGAGATAGAGTCCCATCTCCGAAACGTCGTTTTACGTTTTATATTTACTATACGATGGATAATATCCAAGGAAATTTTTATTCAATTGACTCTTCACCATCGACAAGAAATTTTAGATTTGAAAGAGAAAATATACTGCAGATAATGAGGAAGAAATTTTGACAAGAACCTGAAGGCGAAAGATAAATTTATCTTATGATAATTATAGGTAAGATATTAAAACTTGTATTGACTTGATTTTATCAAGATTCTCCCCCTAGAGTACATTGAAAATCACCGAGTTTGTTGTAATTTTGAAACAAAATGTCATTTTTCCGCAGTTTCAGCTAGTAGTAAATATACGTTAACTTAGAATGATTATTGTCAGTTGTGTTATCCCAGAATTTTTCTGTGTAAACGGAGAAATACAACGAAGATCCCCAGTCATAATGTCGGGTGGTCCTGCCTGTATTTTAATTGAATATCTGCAGAATTCGAGTAGAATGGAGTGAATGTGTATATCGCATGGCTGATACGTGATTTACTTCCAGTGAGCTGCTTAATTTACACAGGACTTGTGTCTGTTAAAAACAGAGTAGTATTGTCTGCTTTTATTTTATTTATTTAGTTTTCTGTCTGAGGACAGGTCCATATGAACAGGATCCTTCCATCCTTTTCTCGGACTGGGACCTGTTCATATACGTTCTTGGCAGATGATCCAGAAGTGGTTTGCCATTGCCTTCTTCTGGGTGTGAATGGAGTAATTGTTGGGATGCCACGGAGGAAAACTACGTGTTGCCTAGACCACGGCCTTGCCCAACACAAGTTATAAATTCGGGCACCGCCGGGAATCGAACCCGAGACCCCAGGATTACAAGGCCAGCGTTCTAACCGCTAGACCACCGTGGTTAAAAAGGGTCTGCTAATAAACCATAAATAAGATAGAATGTGTTTTAGATTTTAGAGTTTATTTCATAGCTTATATAAAAATTATAACCGCCACGATACGATTAACATCCTCTATCTTGGTAACTAAGTGTACCATACGAAGATGATATTGGTATTAAGATAGAAATTCCACTTTCTTTGGAAAATTGTATTTAGAACTTCATGAATAGTCCACAGTGTTAAGTTTCGTAATTGTATGAGTTGACATAATTGGTTTTGATAAAGCAAGGCCACTGGCCTCGAGAATATATTAGCACGTTTTTGTCTTGACCTTGTAGACAGTGCCTCGTGGAACCTGTATTCTTTCCAGCCCTAAGAATAAGACAAATGAATTTATTTCACGTAACGATATTGCACAGAAATAACATACTTCAAAATACAATGCAGACCTGCAGGTTTTTCATTTGAACTCTTTGCAACTTGGCATTCCGCATAGATTTTGTTATAGGTTTAAATCAAGTTTTCGTTATAGACGAAAAAAGTAATCATGTTATTTGATTATGAAATTATTTGGGAGGACGGGCTCGCAGAAATGATAACGCAGACACCAACTTAATTTTCAAAATAAGGAAAGTTTGTTAATAACTACACCTAGGTTTATATTGAAGGCAACCGAATTTTCAACACACAGATAAACATGAAACAAACTTCAAATGTACAGACTTTACAGACTAAACTCACTTTTTCACAAGTACGTACGCTTGATAACAGATGACATTTCTTGAACCGAAATTCATTCTATATTTATTAATGATTATATTTTCTTCTCACCACATAGTTTTTAATTTGAGACACGGAAATCTTATTGGAAAATTACACCAATCAATGAACATCAACGACGTGTTTTAATATAATCGATTTGGCCGTTATAGTAGTAGCGGTCGGTGGTACCAAGTTCGAATCTTGGTCATGCTGCCAGTTACTCTAAGGATTTTCACAGATTTCCTCAGTTTCTCCAGGTTTATACCTGGGATACTTTTATATTATTCATAATTCCTTTTTTCAAATCCTTATGTACTCACATTATGTCATTCGAAGTTATAGATCTAAGCCTCTGCAGATAAAACGGCATAGTAAAGTGAAAATTAGTCAAGAATAATATTTATTTTTATTGAAAACAACACAGTGAATCTGTGGCAACTTCGCATTATTAGTCACGCGGATGTCTTAGCCTTATAATTAACACACTTACTCGTGTCAAGCAGATGACCAGAACGGAGTAAACACCAGTAGCTGACAGATACAACTTCTCACTTTGCTGCTTTTCAGTCTTTTGAGCGTGTCTCCCACCTTAAGTACCGTAATTATATATCTCTCTCTCCCCCCACCGACCCTTCTGTATCGTTCTCTGATCTCAGGCGTAAAATAATAGAGGATGTTCACTGAAACATCGTTGTCTAGAACTGTCAATGTTCTACGTCAACCTCCTTTGTTACTTTAAACTCGTGAAGAAAGATTAATAAAACTGTTGATGTTGAATGTCGTCATCATCTATACCGTCGTGAAAACCTCAAATCTGTCAGCAAAATTATTCACATATTTTAATGTATTGACCCCACGAACAAAATGCTAATTTTACAGACGATTCATAAAATATCACAAGAGAAAAACAGTCGCTGTTAAATCTTAAACTAGACTTAAAATAAATGTAAGTACTGACATTTTTATACGCCACAAGTAAGGATTATTCTGAAGATGGTTGTCTTCTGTGTTGTTGCGCCGTATAGTCTGGTAGAA